GGAAAGCGAGGATTTGGCGGTGGCAGCTGCCCGGGTTCCGTGCCCGGGGACAATGACGGGATCGGATGACTCTGCAAAGCTCCGAGCTCGCCGGTTCCTGCTGCAGGCGCTGCCCGGGGCTCTGCGGGAGGAGTTGGCTCCGTCTCGGTCATCCCGGAGCCGGCCCGGGCTCGCATTCCCGTGCCGTGAGGTTATGCCAGGCTGCTGAAATCGCGGCGGGTTTTCCAGGCAGAGCTCACACCGGTGCTGCCGGGGGGATTGGCAGGGACAGGATGGCGCTGGGGTCTGGGTTTGCATCGCTTGTGCCTCCTCCGTGGCTGTCAGATGCTTTAAGAGGGGTTTATTCCCTGATTTTGGACAGGGTTGTCACCAGAGGGCTGAGCCCAGCCYRGGGACRGTCAYRGCAGSAGRGYCACAGCGGGACCCTTCCAGCTCTGGGGTCTGGGTTTGCATCACTCATTCAGACACTTTAAGAGGGGTTTGTTTTCCGATTTTGGACAGTCTGAGCTCAAGTCTGGGCCCAGACCTGCCCTATGGTGACACGGGGACAATCACAGCAGCAGGGCCATGGCAGGACCCTCCCAGCTCTGGGGTCTGGGTTTGCATCGCTCATTCAGACGCTTTAAGAGGGGTTTATTTTCCGATTTTGGAGAGTCTGGCCCCAATTTGTCATCACCAGAGGGCTGAGCCCAGCCCTGCCCCGTGGGTGACACGGGGACAATCACAGCAGCAGGGTCACAGCAGGACCCTCCCAGCTCTGGGATCTCAGGGAAAGGGAAGGGAAGGCTGAGAGCTGTTACACTCACTGCCCTGGCTCACATCCCCTCTCCTTTCCAGGGACCTGATGGCACAGCCCGAACCCCCTCCAGAGCTGCAGCTGGACGAGAGCAGAGCATCCCCTGCCCCACAGGGAGCAGCTGGAGGGGCTGCTCCACACCCGGAATGCCCACAGACCCCGCTGGATCCGGCAGGGGATGGATCTAAACCCCTCCACGGCCAGGGAGTCTGCAGGGATCCTTCCTTGGAGAAAAACACAGCGGGGACCCAGCTGGGCGAGGCTGCAGCCGGGGCTGAGATCCCGCTGGACAGGGCTGGAGCCCGGCTGGATGTGGATGCAGATGGAGCAGGGATTCCCCTGGATGTGGGTGAAGGTGGGACAGGAATCCCACTGGACATGGATGAAGGTGGGACAGGAATCCCGCTGGACATGGACGCAGATGAAGCAGGGATTTCACTGAATATGGATGCAGATGAAGCAGGGATCCTGCTGGACATGGGTGCAGATGGGACAGGGATCCCAGCAGATATGGGTGCAGCAGGGATCCCGCTGGAAACGGGTGTAGGTGGGACAGGAATCCCACTGGACAAGGATGCAGACAAAGCAGGGATCCCGCTGGACAGAGGTGCAGGAATCCCACTGGATGAGGATGTAGATGGAGCAAGAATCCCGCTGGACATGGACACAGACAGGGCAGGGATCCCACTGGACAGGGATGCAAGTGGGACGGGGATCCCAGCAGATGCAGGTGGGACAAAAATCCCATTGGACATGGGTGCAGACAGAGCAGGAATCCCGCTGGACATGGACACAGACAAAGCAGGATTCCTGCTGGACATGGGTGCAGAAAGAGCAGGAATCCCGCTGGATATGGACACAGACAGGGCAAGGATTCCAGACAATGCAAATGGGACAAAAATCCCATTGGACATGAGATCAGATGGAGCAGGAAACCCGCTGGACATGGACACAGACAGGGCAGGGATCCCAGTGGATGCAGGTGGGACAAAAATCCCATTGGACATGGGTGCAGATGGAGCAGGAATCCTGCTGGACAAGGATGCACACAGAGCAGGAATCCCACTGGACGTGGGTGCAGACAGAGCAGGAATCCTGCAGGACATGGACACAGACAAAGCAGGGATCCCAAATGACACAGAAGGAGCAGGAATCCCTCAGAACATGGAGGCAGAGGCAGCGGGCAGCCCTGTGGACTCGGACACCGCGGAGCGCCGCTGCCTGAGCCTGGAAGAGCTGGGCGATTATTTCCAGGAGTGCATCGAGATCGTGGAGCAGCTGGAACGCGAGCGGGACGAGCTCATCTCCGAGCTGGCCCAGCTCCGCGAGCCGGCGCTGCAGGAGATCCGCCACGCTCACCAGGAGATCCAGGCGGCCTGCAGGCTGCTGGCCAAGGTGGAGCTGGAGAGGGACAACCTGCGGGACGAGATCCGCCAGATCAAGCAGAAACTCTTCAAAGTGACCAAGGAATGCGTGGCCTGCCAGTACCAGCTGGAGAGCCGCCGGCACGACCTCTCGCAGCACGCCGCCTACCAGGGCGAGCTGCAAAACCAGGCGGGCCAGCTCTCCGGAGAGCTAGCCCAGCTCAAGGAGAGCTGCGAGAAGGAGAAGGAAGCCCTGAGGCAGCGCCTGGAGGCTCCTCCGTGCCGCCAGGACAATCTGTACCTGCAGGAGAGCCGGCGGCTGTCGGTGGAGTTTGAGAGTTTCGTGGCGCAGAGCCGCCGGGGTTTGGAGGAGCACTACGAACCGCAGCTGCTGCGGCTGCTGGAGCGGCGCGAGGCCGGGGCCAAGGCGCTGCAGGAGATGCAAGGAGAGATTCAGGGCATGAAGGAAGCCCTGAGGCCCTTGCAGGGCGAGGCCAGCCGGCTGAGGATGCAGAACCGCAGCCTGGAGGAGCAGATTGTCCTGGTCAAGCAGAAGAGGGACGAGGAGGTCGGGCAGTACCGGGTACGCGCCCCAAAAGGGCATCGCTGCGCCCTCTTTTCGGGGAGGGGGGTGTTTTTGGTGCCCAGGGAAATGTGGGTGCTGCAGGATTTGCACAGGGAAGGAGCAGGCTGGGTGAGGAGGGGAGGATGGAGAATATTTCCTGCTGGTTGCAATCAAAATTTTCCCCCAAATTTCAAAATAGCGGCTCCTGGGCTCAAGGCAAAACCAGGGATGCGCTGGGAAAGTTTGGGGCTTCACCAGCTTGGAAAATGGGTTTCTCCCGAATTGATTTTCTCTTGGTTTTGTCCTGCCCCTCAGAAATGGCCCCAGGGATGGGGGATTTCCTTCCCAAAGCTCAGTGATGCTGCTGAGCTCAGGCACCGCACTGGGACCGAGATGCTCGGAAATGCCATTTTTAAATAAAGGTGGCTTTTCTTTCAGACCCCTCGAAACAGATTCTGCCCCTCCTACTGCCAGGAAGGGTCTCACCCCTTTGCCCACCCTCCTGGGARGGTTATTTCTGGCCAGGCCTGAGGGACAAGGCAATCCAATATCTGCAAGAGCACATTTGGCAAAGAGGCTCCAAATTAATCTCTTCATTTTCAACGCTCTCTGTTCTCGGCTTGCAGTCACTGCCTCCTCCCAGAAGTTTCTRGAAGCTGCCATTCCCCTTCCATCACGCTTTCTCCCTGCTGGGATGGGAATTTGTGGTTTCTCCTGGATGTTCAGGGTCCCTCGGTGCGCCTCCACTTTTTCCTTTTCCCAAATTCTTTATTCATCTCCTCCTGACTCACGGGTTTACACAGCTCTGGCAGCTTCTCAAAACACACACAGAGTGGTTCAGGGGACAAAACCAAGCAGCCAGGAGAAGCCTGAGGACAAAACAGCTCAGCCCAGCCCAAATTCCCACCTTCGTGTTCAAACAAAGCTCTTTTTTTGCAAAATTTCTAAAGAAAATTCTTTGGGCAGAGTCAGGGAAGCAACAGAGAGCAGGAACCTTCACCTGRTGCATTTTTTCCCCTCCAGGAGCAGGTGGAGGAGTTGGAGGACAGGCTGAAGGAGCTCAAGAACGGGGTGCAGCTCCAGCAGCGCAAGAACCAGGAGCTGGAGGAGCTGAGGAGCAGCCTCCACCGCGAGCTCTCCATCTACAAGTGCGTCTGGAGCTCATCCCTGCAGGGCAGAGGGGCTGGGAGGAGGGGGAGGAYGGTGGGGAAGGGTCCAGGGTGGGCTCACAGCTCCTCAGCCTTTTCCTCCTGGGTGTGGTGGGGCAGCAGAGCAGGAATTCCAACCCCTTTGGCCAACAGCAAATGGGGATTTGATGGAAATTCCTGCAGTGGCTTCCCAAAAAGCAGGTGTGGCTACTGAAGTGGTGCTTTCCTCAGGAGTCCATGTAAAGATGAAATCTGGGAGGTAGAACTGTGGATGCTGGAACTCTTTGCCTGGTTTTATAGAGTTTTTCATTCAGGGGAATTCCTAAATCTCCAGAAAGTTTGGGGATTGTTTTACTCACCCAGCTCGGAGCTGTTCTGTTATTCCAGTCTCAGCTGGACACACTCTTTAAACCATTTCAGGATTCCCTTTTTCCCCCCTTCCCCACCCAAAGGATTTTCCCCACCTCAAAGCTTTTTTTATCCAAGCAGAGGGAAGAGCTCTCTGAGCCTGTGCTGTCACCAGCCATTCCCAACAGGACAAACTGCATTTAGGATTCAGCCCAAATCCTGACACCACCCTGCCCTCACTGCCTGGATTTCCCCTAAATTTAATTCCAGTTTAACTCCTGCAATCTCCAAACTGCCATCCCTGGAAGTGATAACTTTAAATGAGATTTTATTTGCTCTGGGGATCTCTCAGCRATGCCTGAGCTGCCTTTTCCAGCAGCTGTCACCAAAAAAATGATATTTTCCCTTCTGTTAAATCCTGTTTGCCAAGGGCTCTGAAAGAGCTGGGCTGGGCCCACTCACTCTCAAGACCAAGGACTGAGCCTCTTGATGTGTTTCCCAATTCCTTTTTCTTCCATACTTTTCCCAAAAATAGCACATCCTCCTTCTCTTTTTTTCTCCAGCCAGGGGATTTATGTAAATATTCCACAGCCTAAATTTCCTTTCTATCCTTTACAGGAGCTGCTTGGAAATCTACGGCCACCTCTGCAAATCGGAGGAAAAAGCAGAACAGGACTGTTAAAACCACAGRATTTTCCTCTTTGTAGCAAAATACAACAGTCAGAGGATCTAAAAGGGACATCTCCTCCTGCTGCTTTATCCTGCAGGGATAAAAAAATAAAAAATCYTTTCCCTGGGTATTTTCCCAGGTGCTGCTGTTGCTCGTGTAGTAAAAAACTGCTTTTCCCCAGAGGARCAGAGCAATCTTTGCACTGAACAATGGATGAGGAATAACTGATTGATGTTTTGCTGTGTTTGAGAAAATGTTATCTTTTTTTCAGATGGTTTAAACCTTCCAGAAAGTTCTGGAAGCTGATGTGGGAGGGGTTGACTTTTAAAGTTTACATGCAAGAGAAGCTTTCTCCTTTGAAGAGGATTTTCTTTTGTATTTCAAGGGTTTTCTGCTGTACTGGGATGTGCTCCACAGAAACGAGGTGGTGGGGAAGAGATTTCCACTTTATATCGAGTCTCACACTGAAAATAAAAGGTCAGAGTTTAAGGAGCCTTTCCATTCTCATTTTCAGTCTCAAAAGCCCAAGGTTGTGTGTCAAACCGAGGTGTTTGTGTCAAATTCATGACAAAAAAACAGTTGTGGTGAGGGCTAAAGGCAGAATTAAAATGCAGACAGCAGCAGGGCTTGAGGGGTTTAAGCTCTCATTAATTTATTCCACAAAGCAGCAGAAATGAGAGGGGAGAAATACCCATTTTAATATCTTAAAAATTAAAAAATATCTCTCCCAGCTCCTTGAATGGATAAACACCCTCACCAAAGCACCAAACAGCAGAAACAGCACAAAACTCGCCCAACTTGGCAGCGTTTCCGTAGAAAAACTTTATTCCAACTGGAGAACTTACACGCAATTAGTCATGAGGAGATGGAGAGTAACAGGCTGCTGGTGGCACTGGACACCCGAGTGGAAGACGTGGTCAAAGACAAATTCTTAAAAAAAAAAATAGTTTATCCACGTTTGATTTGTTTTCCACCAGCTGCCAAGGGCACCGGGATTATCCGTTGGTACAAACAAAACACCTTTGACAACTTGAGGGCTCCCCCAAGTTTTTTTTTTTTTTAAAAAAAAAAAACCATTTCACAGAAAGGAAAGAAACATTATGTGAAAACACAGCTCGAGAAACACACAATAGAGCAAAGGAAAAAAAAAATGTGGGAGGTGGAAGGAGGCTCTGCAGGAATAGCTAACAAATCCAAACCGCTGGCACCAAACAGGAGAGAGGAAAGGGGAAGGAAGGAAGGAATGAAAAACCCAGAATTACCAGGAGAGACAAAAAAAAAAAGAAGAGAAATTTCAGTTCAAGTCAGAACTCGTATCTGCAAAGGCAGAAAAAGCCACAAGGTGCAGATAACGAAAGGAATTCCAAGGTTTTTGAGTTGTACTGAGGAGGGCAAGGCCTTCCACACCATTTCTGAGCTGTCAGGGGATCAACACTTGGATCATCTCCGTGGGATTAACACTTGGATCATCTCTGTTGGCTCAAACCCACTCGGGCAGCTCTGCCAATTTTACTTTTGTTTAAATTAGGCAAAAAGCCTGTGGCTGGAGCAAGCAAAAAAGAAAAAATAAACCCCAAGCTTGCTCGGTGACAAAGGCAGCTCAAATGGGACAGCCAGGAAGGTTGGGCAGGAATTGAAACCTGACTGAGGGGGCTGAGCCCTTTTTTTTGGTTGTTTTTTGGGGTGGTGGGTGGAAAAACCTGTGGTGGGATTTAGGGGAGGATGGCTGAACACAAAGCCTACGTGTGTCTCAAAACCAGTGTTAAGTGGAGGCTGAGAGGGAAGAGAAGGAGAAAGACTAAAAACAGGGAGAGGTTGGCATTTAGGATCCTTGACCTTCGGGATCCACGCTTCCTTCGGGATCTTCATCGTTGTAGATGTTCTCTGCCTGCAAAACAGGGATGGAGGAACTCAGGGAGCATTTCCCACCCACTTTGGACAGGATTCCACCTGCCAAAACACCTCCAAAACCTATTTTTTAAATTATTAAAATTATTATAATTTAATMATMATATTYTTWAAAAYTTGCAAATATGGATCACCCATYCCCAATCCCATCAACATTAAAGCAGCAACACAAAAAAACCTTATCCACAAAAGCCAGGTCTCAAAAAAAACTTCCTAAATGTCCTGTAAATAGAAWTCTGCTAAAGGAGAGTCCACTGCAAGCCTTACAAAAAGGTTTCAAGTATTTATTTTGTAGATTCTCAGMAGCATTTTCTAAAAGACCTACAGAAAAAGCTGCCAAGAACAAACTTTAGAGATGAAAATGGTCTTGTCAAAGGTCAAGATTGTTTTCCAAAACCTTCAACAGCTGGGAATGTAGAGGCCAGCACACTGTGCCTGTTCACCAGCACCCTTTTCATCTTTTGGAGARTGAAATCTCAAATATTCTTTAGGACAATAAATACAGAAACCTCAATTTCATTGTTGGTTCTCACACAATGTTTTCATTKAAACAAAGAAGGGAAAAATTTCCTTCAGAATATATTTTTTAAAAACACAAAACATCTCCTGAGTATTTGGAAACCAYTGTTGTGGCCCAAACTAAAGGAGATTTCACTGGTCCCTGGAGATTTCAGCAATTTTGTCATTTTAAGGGCTGTAAATAAAAGCAGGAATGCTGAAATCCAGGTTTTCAATCCTCCACCTTCCCAAACAACTCACCATTTGCCAGACTTGCATGATATTATCTTCTGATACAGAACAAATGACCCAGGGCTCATTGGGATTCCAGGAGAAATCCGAGATCTTTGCAGTATGACCACCATGGATAAACTAGGATTGGGAAAAAAAAAAAAAAAAAAAAGAAGGGGAATGGTTTGAAATTTGCAGTGGAGAGGTGAGAAATAGGTTAAAATATTTAATGGGGTTGAAAAGACTCACCAACAGCTCTGGGGGACCATCCTCAGCATCTTCAGGGGATTGCTCCTCTCCGATTTTACTGCAAAAAAAGGGTTGGGTTGTTTTTTTTTTGAGGTGGGATGCAATTAATTGATAATATTTAGTGGGGAAAAGCTGAGGAATTTGGGATTTACCTCAAGTCCCAAACATTTAGCCTGCGGTCYGTGCCACTGGAGGCCAGGATGGTTTCATTATGGGGAGACCACTGAACCTGCAGGTGAGGATAAATTTAAAATTTTTTTAAATTTAGTTTGAGAAGTTTGAGTTTTGAGAAGCTGTAACAGGTTGCAAAAAAACCACCATTTTGTACCCTAAGAGTTCAAATTGATAACAACATAAAATAGGTGTAAATAATATTTATCATAGGAAGTAATTTGTGAATATTCACACATACAAAAAAAAAAAACATTTCACCAAAAAAGTTCCACCTGGAAGCTTTCCTCTAACAAAGCCCAAGTGCAAACAGCTCCCAAGGGCATTGGCTGCTCCTTATCTTAATAAGGATTGCACAAATAGAACCTTCATGAATTCCTTCAGCTGTAGGCACAGCTCTCCCATGAAAAGAAATCACTGTAATTAAGCTTAACTGCCCAAAAGCTCACATTTACTCCTGCTGGAGATAAAGCTCCCCAGAACACACCACTTAATAGGATCACAGGATTAGGAAAGAACACAGAATTCTGCACACTAACGTGGCATTTCAGGATTCTGTGATTTTATTTAGACATAACACAGTCTGGACTGATAATCCTTCCACCAAAAAAAAAAACCAAAAAACCTCTCTACATATTTTCCCTCTGATTAAAGCACGAGTTGGAGATGGAAATGTTTAATCTGCTAAGCAGGTGCTGCCCACGGTGTGAACAATTCTCCATTTCCAGCAGCAAAATCAGCAATTATCTGTTGTCAGAGGGTGCTAAACCTTCCTGCAGGACCAGGCTGAGGAGGTGGAAATGCTGCAGCCATTTCCCTGGGCCTCCTGCTTCAATCTGCTGCCATGAATAATTTAATGGACTCTGCCCTGCTACCATTTCACCCTTCTGCTGTGGTTAAAGCTCCAGAGCATTTCCCTGCTCCCTCTCTGGATTTTTTTTTTGGAGCTCTGCAGCTTCACAACACCACCACAAGCAGATAAAATAATGAGTTTTTAAATGTAAATAATATATTGTGGAAAAGATTGGTTTTCTTTYCCAGCTTGCTGAGTAGAATTAAATCTTATGAGTGTGAAAGATAAAAAGACTTTTTTAATACCTGAAATATTTCATCTTTATGTGATTCAAAGGAGTGCAGCTTCAGTTTTAGGTTCCTCAAGTCCCATAGAGCAACAGTCTAGGAGAAAAAAAAAAATTATTTTGTTGAAGTAACCAACGTGTAAATCCACCCCAAAAACTGAGCAAAGATGTTCCAAGATCAAAGCAGAAGTACCTTATCAGCTGATCCTGTGGCCAGGATAAACTCACTGTAGGGGTTGAAGGACAGGCAGTTCACCTCAGCTGTGTGAGCATCCACAGAGTGACTGGGTTTGGAGGTGTTGTTTGATCGAGTGTCCCAACTGGAAGGGAAAATATGGAATTAAAATTGCATTTTACTGACGGAAAATAGGGAATAAAATCCCAATTCACCGACGGAAAATAGGGAATAAAAATCCCAATTCACTGAGGGAAAATAGGGAATAAAAATCCCAGTTCACTGAGGGAAAATAGGGAATAAAAATCCATTTCACTGACGGAAAAGAGGGAGTAAAATCCCAATTCACTGAGGGAAAATACAGAATAAAATCCCATTTCACTCAGGGAAAATACAGAATAAAAATCCCATTTCACTGAGGGAAAATACGGAATAAAATCCCATTTCACTGAGGGAAAATACAGAATAAAAATCCCATTTCACTGAGGGAAAAATACGGAATAAAATCCCATTTCACTGCTAATCCCACTACCTATTACAGAGATGAGAAATCTCGAGGGACAGAAGATTTCCCCACTTACATCATGAGCTTCTGATCATCAGCAACAGATCCAAAAAGGGATTCATGGAGCAGGTGCCAGGACACATCTTCCACCACCGCCGTGTGCCCCGTGAAGATGGTCTTGGCATCCACCACTTTGCCTTCTTTGGGAACAGCGCTGATATCCCACAAGCAAATGGTCTTTAAAACAACAAAAAAATGTTTCAAATTACACTTTTATGCACTCTCTTGATCTCATCCTCCTCAAAGCCAAGGTTTTGCCCTTGCCATGGCACACAGAGTGCAGCTCTGTGTTCCAATACTCACGTGATCATCAGAAGCACTCAGCAAATGCCCACTGAGGTTTGGGTTCCAGGACAGCCCATAACCCTCCTTCTGGTGCCCACGGAGACGCAGGTCAGGGTTGCACTCACCAGAAGGATCTGGAATGAGGTAAAGWAAGGATTTCAGTGGCTGGAATCATTCCTGGCATTGAGTTTACTAAATTTTAGCTCAGTAGCCACCTCTGTGCTTTGGCATTTTGGTCCAGCTGGATGGAGGAACAGCAGCTCAGCTGTTGCTGCCCAAAAAACTCCTCCAGAACACCCAGAAATATAAGATGGGATATTTTTCTTTCTCTCATCATGTCCAACTGAACTTTTAAAGTGAGACAGGCACTTCTGACGCTCTCCACCAGTGGTAAAATGAGTAAATCTATTTGATTTTGATGACTTCATAGGTAAATGACTGTTAATACATTTATAGAATATCAGGGGAGCAGCTCAGCTGTCCAGCAAATAAATCACAGCTTCTAAAAAAATTCCTTTTACCACCTCAAATACCAGATAAAACAAGCAGTGAAAGGGCAGGAAAAGGTTTTTTTCCTTGGATACATTTGGATACATGTGTTTAAAATCAATACAAAATAACCTCTAACAAAAAAAACACCCACTAGGCCCTAAAATCACAAATGAGGGGCAATCCAYGATATTTTTTAACCTCTTTTTCAGCTTTAGGGGATGAGCTGGCTGCTCTGAGAAGCACAGACCTGGTTTGGAAGGGTGTTTGGTGTAATCAAAGACMAGGACATCGCTGGAGGGAGTCTTGGTGGCGATGATGCAGGGGTTCTGGGGCATGTAACGGGCTCTGTTCACCTCTCCCTCGTGGTTTATCTTGATTTCAATTTCAATTTTTCCACTCACCGAGCCAAAGCCTCCAAATTCTAAGAATAAGAATGCAGRAATTGTGAATAAGATGTTTCAGAGTGAGGCACAAGGATTTTTATTCAAGGTTTGCTGCCAAGCTCTCAGAATAAACAAAGTTGAGGCAAAAAAAAATTGTAATTTTAGGACTGTGATACACCCTGCTAAGACTCCCTTATTTTCATACATAAAGTTACTTCATAATTTATAAAACTTTTCTTTTTTTTTCTGCACAATTTTGGCAGAAATAATGGAGTTTGGATTGTTTTTAAATTAGAAATACTGTAATAGAATAGAAACACATATTTATTAAACAACCCCATGTTCATAAATAACTTTAAGAAGCCCAAAGATCGAAACACTCTTGCACAATCCAGACTTCCTGTAAAAAAGTAGAGCAAACATTGGATCATGAAGGACTTTCACCAGGTGGAAAGATTGATTCAGCTCAGCAAACAGGAGAAATGTCTGACTTGTGACAGCCACAAAGGTTACTAAAGTATCAAATTCGAGTCTGATTCATTGAATAAAACAAAATTTTTCACCCCAGAGAAAAATGTTTAAAGCGTTACACTCTGAAATAAAAATATTTTTTTACAAGAGTGACTTTACCTGGTGCAAATGTTGTAATAAAAATATCAATAAAAAGCACTGGAATTCAGTGTCAATTCCTGAGRAACAAGGGGTTTTTCCCCCACACACAAATATTTTTGCAATCAACCTGCCCCCTTCTGTTTTCATCAGGTTATTAAAACATTCAAGAAACAGAGTATTTGTCTATTAAGGAGGCACCACTTAGAAATAAATTAATCTGGAAGTAAAAGTTGCATTTTGCTGCCTGAACTTTGAGAAAAGACAAATTTTCTGTGGGGAAAAGGGAAGGAAAAATTGGTTTAAATCCACTTTTTGGGCTCTTACCTCCTTTCTCACTGTCATAGTGGGAAGCATCAAATTGTGCATCGTCGTTGGGCAGCTGCACGCTGGCGATCACAAGGTGGTTTTGTTCATCTGAGGTGTGGGTGCCCAGCACTAATCTGTGGATGCTGAAATCTTTGCCTTCAGGTCTGCAGGGGAAGAGAAAYGCAAGAGGGATCATAAAATATTTTCACAGAGAAGTTGTGGCTGCCTCTGGATTCCTGGAAGTGTCCAAGGCCAGACTGGAAGGGGCTTGGATCACCCTGGGATAGAGGAATGTCCTTGACTATGGCACTGGATGAGTTTTAAGATCCCTTCCCACCCAAACCAATTTGGAATTCTGTCATCTCTTAGACCCAAAAGTCTCTCAGCACAATCCTGGATTTGAATTTGTTGTTTACTCTGCTTTAAAAACAGAAGCAAAAGGATCCTTTTACCTTGTGACATCAGGAAGCCACTGGGCAGTCAAGCTGGGCCACTCCAGGGCATGGGTCATCACCAAATCATACAAGAAGGGGGTGTTCTTTTTCCATATTTTATATTCCTCGTTGATCACACGTTCTTCCACCGCATCATCAAAGGCTGCTGAAGTATTTTTAAAAAAAAATACATACAATTAATTATTTATAGAAGTATTTAAAGATACACAATACTGTGAGCAGGCATTGATTGGAGTCAACTACATCAACCACATCTTGGTTTGCTGTTAAATGCTCCACTGSAGTGGTTCCTAAATGGTTAAAAATCCCCTGTTGCAGATGCTAATASTTTTTTTTCTGGATATATGGCTGGCAATTAATATTAATTAGGTCAAATTTCATCCCTGGAGGTGCTGGACAGGGCTTGGGGCAATCTGGAATAGTGGAAGTTCTCCCTGCCCATTTCAGGGGGTGGAAYGGGATGAGCTTTAAGGACCTTTCCAGCCCAGTCCATTCTGGRATGATTTTATGATCATGTTTTTAGAGCAGCACAATAAAATTCTGAAACTCAATGCACAGGGAGACAAAACCCAGACTTGCAAAGATGTTTAAAAGCAGGAGATCCAGCAACTGCTGTTAAACAGACCGGTCTGGGTGCAGCCTTGAACTGCTTGTTCCCAAAATCCAGTTCTCCAAGGCTCCTTCTGCTGCTTTGTGGGCCTCACTCACACATTTTCTCAGCCCATCTGCCAAGGGAACATCTCAGCTATCTATCAAATAAATCACAGCTTCAAAAAAACTTTCTTTTACCACCTCAAACACCAGATAAAACAAGCAGTGAAAGGGCAGGAAAAGATTTTTTTCCTTGGATACATTTGGATACATGTGTTTAAAATCAATACAAAATAACCTCTTACATAAAAACACCCTGTGGGGTAGAAAAGGCGGTGAGGAGACCTGGGGGAGCTCACCCACTGAACGGGGACACTCCCCGGGAACCGGGGACACCTCTACGGGACGGGGGTACCCCAAAGGAGCCCAAACTCGGCGACGGAAGGGAAGAACTCCCGCCGAACGGGAGCTCCCTCATGAAACGGGGGCACCCTCAGGGCGCGCAGAGGCGGCCGGTGACACTTGTTTGTCTGCCCGCTCCCCTCTGTGGGCACTGCCCGGCCCTCCCGGCCTCACAAACCCCCTCCTCAGGGCGCAGAGGAGGGCAGAGGATCCCGGCCCGGGCCGCTGTCCCCGCTCGGTGCCGCGGGCGCGAGAAACCAACGGCGCCATGACCGGAGGGGCCCTCAGGCCCCGCCCCGCGCGCCCCCTGGCGGCACCGCCCCGCTCCCCTCACGCCGTCACGGAGAGCGGGGGGGCCACCCCGCGCCTCACGGCGGAGGCCGCGCCGCCCATACGGAGCCTTTACCTTCCTTGTCCGCCATGGCGGYGCGGAGGGGGAGCGCGGCGGCCGCGGGGAGCGAGGCGGGGCGGGCTGGGCGAGGCGGGCGGGCGGGCGGTTCCTGCGCTCGCTGCTCCGACCCCTCCGGCCGCGGCTCCGTCTATTGTTTCCTGCCCCCGCTGCGTGCGGCTCCCGGCGCCGCGCACCCCTTCGCGCGCCAACGCCGGCCAATCAGCGCCCGCCGCCGGGAGGAGCCGGCCAATCGGCGGAGGGCAAGGGGGCGGGGACGGGAGCGCGCGCGGCGGTCACGTGGCRTGGCTCCCCCTGGGAGCCGCCATTTTCCGGAGCGCCCTCAGCGCGCTCTTAAAGGGGCCGCGCCCCCGCCGTGAGGGGAGGCGCGTTTGGGGTCCGGTCCCGGTTCCCGGTCCTCGCTCCCGGTCCCTGATTAGGAAGAATCGTGGCTCCCTCCGGTCACYACAGCCGTGGGCAGAGCGTGTCGGGGCGGGACTGGAGCGGACCGGTGCGTGTGTGGGCCGAGGCCTCCTTCCAGGGCCGCCCTGATACCATCGGGTATTCTTTGCGTGTTATTAATTCTCTRTAATCACGAATATATTCCCTTTTTCCACAATTCAGTGCAGCGGTGAGTTTTAGAGACGTAATATTTGCTGGTTCTGGTCGGCTGCTGAGGGCAACCTGGGACCTGACTCCACAGCTGAGGCTTAACAGGTTTAATATAAAATACTAAATCAATATCTGGGTTTATTCCTCAAGAGATGCCCCGACTTCTCAATTTCAGACTTTTCTTTGCAACACACCTCGATATTTACCTGAAATTAGAAATTAGAAACCCTATATCATGTTTCTAAGCCTTGGAGTAAAAACCAACTCTTGGGTAAAAAGTTATGGGATATCTCTTAAATTATTTGCATTATTTGGGAAAGTGTTGGGATCAGCTGGGGATGAATCTTAAAATGCACAAAAATATCAAAGAATGGTTATGTCTGGGAATGTGGAGAGGAAAATTAATTAGGCTGAAGTTAATCGAGTTCATCGGTTTGTGCCTGTTGGATTTATGAATGAACAGGAAAACAGCAGATCAGGCGTGAGAATTTGACCATTAAATGAGGGGTTGATACAGTTCTTTGGGGAATTTTTTGTTTGTTTATTAAAAAAATCTGCCAGAAAATGAACACGGGAGACCCTTTTTTTTACTTGGTTTAAATGTAATCTTATCCTAACAGAAAAATACTTTTATTTTTGTTTTCTGAAGAAAAATCTTATTTAAGGTCATATCAGTGGGTTTTGAGGGCAGTGCCACTTCAGGTATGTGATGTACAGTAGGGCTGAGCACCGTCAAAAAAATTAATTTGAATTTAACCCAAAACTTGGGTGTTTAATTCTCTTTACAGCTGTTTCCATCAGTGCTGTATTTATTGTGAATGAATGGAATGCTCAGTGTACACAACGAGGAAGAAAAACCACGATTCTGCCCAGAAAAGGCCAAAGTCCACAATTTCCATAAGGAATGGGGTTTTTTTTTCCCTTTGCTGAACACACATCAGTTCATGGGTGTGGGACTGAACTCCCAACTTCCCCATCTCCCTGGTTTGACACCAAACAACCGAAATGAAATGAATTTAGCACTCAAGAGGAATTCTCTCTGTTTTCCAGCAGGTTGAATCGCTCCGTGGCCGTGTTTGCCCTGCAGCAGGAAGGGAGGGAGCAGCCCTGGATGTTCCTCAGCACCAGGAAGTGAGAATTCCTGAGGAACCCTGAGCCATGGCAGCCGAGGAGAGGGATTACAACCTGACCGAGGAGCAGAAGGCTGTGAAAGCCAAGTACCCCCCTCTCTGTAAGAAATACGAATGTGAGTATTTTTAATATTTCTTAATTTTTTAAATATTTTTTATATTTTTTTTATATTTTTAATAATTTTTATATTTTATATTTTTAATATTTTTTTAATATTTTTTAATATTTGGATGTGTGGCAGTGCAGTTGTGAGGATAAGACAACAGGAAATACATCAATTTTCTTCAGCGTGCTTTTCTTGTCATGAGTACTAAAAAAATAACCATGAAAATAAATTACTCAAATCTTCCCTTGAAAACTTTCCCTTTCCAAGCCATTTCTTAGTGAAGCTGCCCATTTTTCTACCTCTCACGTAGGTAGACATTCAAAAGTGTGCTGGAGTGATGTTTTCACTCCGACATGCTCCACTTAAAGATCATTATCTCAGCCTTTCCCCAGCCCTGGAATGTCTCCTCTGAGGATGTGGGTGGTAGCCCAAGGGCCAGTTTAWGGCAGGGGACCATTCCCTGCCTGTTTTCCATGCCAGCAGTGTCTGTACCTCAGTTAGAATTTATATTTTTAGGACCAGTTCAGATCTTGATTTGATAGAAGTGCAGAATTACRGTGACATAGCACCACAGCCATGCTGCTTCCATAACTGGAAGAGTTTTTATCCTTCTTTTACATCCAGAGGAATTTGTTTGCTTTAGAGACCGTTGTTGAGAATCCTTTCATAGTGTGTGATCTCTCTAAACAGCACCAGAACGGTTTTTCAGTTGAAGTGATCATGGTCTGGCATTTATTTCACATCCCAACTTAGTTCTGCTGTAATTTTGCATTTCTTTCGTTGCTCTGAATAAATAGAAATGATGCTCATGTTAAACTGGATACATGTTGGGGTGTCAGTCATGCTTCATGAGTAAAGTTTGCCTTCTRTTTTATATTACATCCTATATTTTTATTTCTTCTCTTGGCATAATGGCTGCTTTTGGGTGTGGACAGGTAGMGTTCCTCACTGAGCTGGTAATATTTGCAAATCTCATCCTCTGCATGAATAATTTTCAGTTCAGYGTGAGCTCTTTCCTCCTGGTTAAAGTTTCTTTTTATTGCAGTTAACTTGTGGAAGCCTGTTGGGTTACAACAGCCAAACCCAACACTGACATAATCACATTAAACAGGGTTTATTTCACTGCTTGGCACGAATAATTCAAAATTCCACCTGTGCTAAATTTTTCTAWCACACTGCAAAATAGATTTACCACATCTGCAGATGAATGCAAAGAGTTTTTTGGTCAGAAAATCAGATCTCWATGTTATTATTTTTTTAATCCTCCYGTTATAAATAATTTTGGTGACATCATTCCTTTTCCTTTTGCTTCCCCTCAGATTTGGATCACACRGCAGACGTGCAGTAAGTGTGGGCAGCTGGGATTTCTCAGTGTGACAAATGGATTATTTCTTACACTTTGCTTTAAGCCTGGGGGAACAGCCAAGAACTGTTTGTAGATGTAACACCTTTGTGTAGCTATGAAATGTCCCTCACTGGGTGCTCTGATGGTCAGTTTTGCTTTTGGAGACCACAGAATAATGTTTGGTTACTTTTCTGGTGTATGGTGCTTCTGACTAAATCTCTGTGCTATTTGGAAATGTCTTTTGAAATCTCCTTTTAATCTCCTCCTTTTAAATGAAATTTCTTCTGTGTGGCTTACATTTATAGACACCAATCAGCCATATTAGGAATTAATTTCTTGGTGCCTGGCAAAACATTTCTTTTCCATATCCTYCCAAGAAACTCTTCTCACAATATCCTTTTTCTAGAAAAAACAAGGTGGTTTTTGTTAATTTACCTCCTCTTAATTCCCACGTTCTGATTACTCACCTGGATGTTACTTTGGAGCAGTTTCTTTTTGTTATCATCCAATATTATATTCCAATATATTATATTTTGTTATCATCCAATATTATATATGTAATATAATTATATTCTATGATGTTTTTAGGCTCCATGCCTGGGGAGACACGTTGGAAGAAGCCTTTGAGCAGTGTGTGATGGCCATGTTTGGCTACATGACAGATACAGGGACTGTAGAACCTGTGGATACAGTGGAGGTGCAGGCAGAAGGTGAGAACTGGACTTCTTAAATGCAGATTTATGAAAGAGAAAAAAGTACCCAAGGTACCAAAAATCTGAATTTTTACACCTAGTCTTACTGCTGTTATTTAAAATCTAATGAAGCATCACTAATCTGAATTTCCTGTTTATCTGAGATGCTTTATTTTTTTTTTGCTGTGACAATCAGCTGACATCTCTGCTTCAACCCCACAGGGCATGACATGTTGTCTCTTCTCTTCCATTTCCTGGATGAGTGGCTGTATAAATTCAGTGCTGATGAGTTCTTTATACCCAGGGTAAGATGTTCTGGTTTTCAGCTTTTTGCTTTTGTAGGATGAGGCTGTTCCCTGTAATTCCAGCTCTGAATGCAATTTAAGAAAAAAAAAGTAAAAAAAATACAAGGCCAGTTGGACAAGGCTTGGGGCAACTTGTGCTGGTGGAARGTGTCTAAACATTGGAAAAACATTTGTAAAAAATGGGAATTTACTGGGAATTTCTGCCTGAAGGTAAAAGGTGTGACTGACTGACACATTTCTCCTCCCATTTGCTCTGCAGGAAGTGAAAGTGCTTCACATCGACCGAATGCAGTTCAAAATAAGATCAATTGGGTGAGCTTAAACCATCGTCTCAAAATGGATTGTGGACTTTCCTTGCTTCCTTTGGGGCTGTAAATGAAAATCTCACTCTTCTATGCTCATCACTGAAGCTAATTATAATATTTGGTAAATATTACCCAAATTACAACCATCTCTCTTTTATTTTTTTCCCTTTACAGGTGGGGAGAAGAGTTCTCTTTAGGCAAACAYCCACAGGTAGGCAGTGATTCCTCTGTCCAGCTTTTCCATTTTAGGAGGGGAGTTGTGGTGTCCTTTAAATCAGAGATCAAAATATAAATGGGGCTGAATGATACCACTGAACTCAAAATCTCACTTTCTGCATGGTTTTTGTGATTGTGTTCCTAAAACTGTTGATCTGAGCATGACATTTCCTCAGCATCAGCACAACTCAACAATTGCCTTCCTTTTTGTGATCCTGAAAACACAGAAAGCCAATCTRTATTCAGAATTTTGGGTTTCACACTATTGGTGCAGCCTTTTGCTTAGTTAGTTTTTGCTTTTTTCTTCCTTTCTTTTCCCCCAAAAGAATTGCTAAGAAGCAAAAACCTGATGTCTTTAACTGTGTCATTTTTGGCATAATAAATGTTGATGGTCTGTCAGAGGTAAGAGGAGGAATTTGTGAGATGAAGAGGCAATAAAATAAAGGGAAAGTTCCCTTTTTCACTATTTGGCTTGGCCAACTTCCTAATTCATTAGAACAAATTCAGTGATATCTTTTTGGGGAGTAAAAAGTGGAGAGCATTTGAGGAAAGGGATAAAACTCGGGGATTATGAGCTGGTAAAAAGGATAAAATTTAGAAAAATCTATGTTTTGTGTCTCTTTTCTAGGGCACAGAGGTGAAAGCCRTAACTTACTCAGCAATGCAGATCTGTGAGGATGAAAAGCCAGAAGTCTTTGTCATTATTGATATTTAAAGCAAGAAGAGCGTGGTTGAGTGGATGTTGGTCATCATCTGGCAAAAGCCYCCTGAAACTCTGATACCTGAGAAAAAAAACTGAAGAATTGGTCAGCCAAAATCAGAAATTGAAGGGAGTCATTGCAGGGAATGAGACAGAGAATAGGAAGAGTGAATTAGGGTTTTGGGGGATATGGAGGAGAGGTTTGTACAGGTTGGAAATCTCCCAGGAATGCTGGCACGCAGCTTTTAAGGTTGATAAATGTGCTAAGGGCTGCATGAAATACAGAAATTGGTGGAGCTGGWAACTAAAATACTCCCTTTTTGCAGGGTGGCAGGAGATAATGTTCATCTAGATTGATTTCATTTGCATATTTTATGTTCTAATTCTGAGCTAACATCCCTCCTCCATATTACATAAATCCAAAATAGCTTCAGTGGCTCAGATGTAATGTGGAAAAAAAAWYSGGAGTGTTTTAAAATTAGACACCTACAAAAATGATAGCAATTAAGCAAGCAAACAAACCACCACATCTTTGGAACTGCTTTAAAAAGAAATCGTGCCAGCAGGTGGTGYTGAATTGCTGTAAATAAATGGCCACGTGAAATCCTAAAGCATGTGAGCATGGAATCCTCTTATCACCTTTGAAYGCTGTGAAAAGTTGGCAGCTTTGCTGCTGTGGTGGAAGGGGATGGAAAAAGATGTCCCGAGTTCTCCCTGGATTCACTCCCAACTTTATTTTGTGAAAATTGAGTCTTTTTTTTTAAAATAGATGATCTGGATCGGCCTCATTGTCTTTTACAAAGGACAATACAGACTGTCCTTTAATGTCAAAGGATTATGGACTTCASTGAATTGAAATGAATCAAAAATAATCAAAAATGTGTTTTGTTTTAAATCACGGAATGGCAAATGTGTGTTACCTGCTGTTTTGATTTAATTTAAATGTGAGCACAGGCCTGGCCTGCTCCGTTACCGTAAACGCTCCAAGTGCCTCATTCTGGAGGTGGCATCTCATCCTATAAAAACCATCTTAAATAGTTCTGGTTTTATTTCTATGTTGTAAAGACTGAGGGGTAAACCCCTCCCCCCTTATTTTTTAAACAAGCCTCAATGCTGAAATAAAACTTGGACTGGAAGAATTAATGGACTTGTGAGTGATTTTGATGGGCAAATTCAGTGAATGAATTACATTCATTTTGACGGGCAAATTCAAATGAATTACACTTGTGCTTTTTTAGGTGAGCAGACTTTTTATTATCAGTAAGAATTGCAACACACCAATTTAATGGTATAAAATAAATGTGATTTTCACAGCCTGGCTTTTCTCCTCCTGAGGCAGAGCCCTAAAGGCACTGAGGGCACAGTCGCCATTGCGGCCCCTCAGCAACCGCGCTGGAATCTCATTGGCTGGCTGGGATCACGTGACTGGGGATCAGCCAATCGGGCGTCGAGTTGGTGTTGGGTTTTGTTCTCCGCSTGAGGGGAGATGGGAGAGGGGTTGTGAGGGCAGAGCTGGGGCTGAGGGGAGAGGGATTGTGAGGACAGATCTGCGGCTGAGGGGAACTGAGTGGGGCTGAGGGGTGAGGGATTGTGAGGGCAGAGCTAGGGCTGAGGGGAGGTGAGTGGGGCTGAGGGGAACTGAGTGGGGCTGAGGGGTGAGGGATTGTGAGGGCAGAGCTAGGGCTGAGGGGAGGTGAGTGGGGCTGAGGGGCGAGGGGTTGTGAGGGCAGAGCTGGGGCTGAGGGGACAGAGCTGAGGGGAGGTGAGTGAGGGGCAGAGCTGGGGCTGAGGAGGTGAGTGAGGGGCTGAGGAGGTGAATGAGGGGATGAGGAGATAGAGCTGGGGCTGAGGGGAGGTGAATGAGGGGCTGAGGGGGCAGAGTTGGGGCTGAGGAGGTGAGTGAGGGGCTGAGGAAGCAGAGCTGGGACTGAGGGGCTGAGGGGGCAGAGCTGAGGCTGAGGAGGCAGAGCTGGGGCTGAGGAGGCAGAGCTGGGGCTGAGGAGGTGAGAGGGGTTGTGAGGACATCTGGGGCTGAGGGGAAGTGAGTGAGGAGTTGTGAGGACAGATCTGGGGTTGAGGTGAGTGAGGAGCTGAGGGGGCAGAGCTGGGGCTGAGGGGAGTGAGTGAGGGGCTGAGGGGGCAGAGCTGAGGCTGAATAGAGGTGGGCAAGAGGCTGGGTTGGGAGTTTGCGGAGTAAGCAAGGAGCTGAGGGTCAGTGCTGGGGCTCTTGTTCAAGGTGCTGAAGATCCTGAGCTATGGGGAGATGGTCACTGACTGAGGGCCTGAGCTGGGGCTGAGGTGGGTGGGCAAGGAATTGAAGGTCAGAGGTTTTGGGGAGATGGGCACTGACCGAGGGGCTGTGGATGAGGGGCAGTGCTGGGGCACTGGAGGTGGGCACAGACACAAGGAGGCTGTGGGGAGCAGAGCAAGGGGCTTGGAGCTGTGGGCAGATGGGCACAGGGGGCTGAGGAGCTGTGAGGAGGTGTTTGTAAGGGCTGATAGAAACCTTGCTTTATCTCAGCTCTCTAAAACGTGAGAAATCTATGTAGTTAAAATTTAACTTTGCAGACAAATGCAGAGATGCCCCAAGATCAGTCACAGGCTATGGTAACACACTGAAGTGCTTTACTTTTTCGAAATGCTGACAGGAGATTGATAGGAAAACATTTGGAATTAACTAAGTAAGTGTTATTCATCTGTTTTTTTTCCCCAGTATTTATTAAGTACRTACTTTAAAACAGGCCTTAAATTCKCCTTGTTCCATTTGCACAGCTGTGGCAGTGGCAGGTTTCAGCTCACAGTGCTGCTCTCCCAGGGCTTTACAGGAGCCCACTGAGACAGTTAAATACCCAAAAGTGGGGTATTAAAACAAAAACCTTCTGGGGGTACCAAAGGATCCTTTCGACACACAAAATTTAAAGTTAGAGTAGTGAAGTACCTAGAAAAGACCTGCATTTGTGGTTGATAAATGTACAAATCTCAAGGAAAACTGAAAAATGCCAGAGCTGCAGAGAGCATTAGGGAATTATTACAGAGGCTTGCCCCGTTCTGACTTTTCCCGAGTTTAATGGCATCTGTTGGAGACAGAACCTGGATGTGGATCAATATGGCTCTTCTCAAATTCTCTGTGGGGAATTTCTGCTTTCTTGGCAGTAACCTCAGGCTACAGATGCTGCTGACGGGAAAGGAAACACAGCATCAAATGAGACATGAGACCAAACAGTGGCTCTTTATCAGGAGTACCCGCTGGGAATGCCATTCTCWGCTCTCAGGCAGAAGGTTTCTTCTGTGCACTCCTTGAGCTTTTTTTTTTTCTTTAATCATTTTAGTACTGAGCATTTTCAGTTTCTCACCAAGTGCTGGTTCTCTGATCCAAATGGCTGGGGAAAAAAATATTATAACTAAAGAGACTCCARAACTACAAAGGTTGCTTAACCTCTGAGGGAAATTGTGCTTATAAAAATATTTTTGTGCTGTCAAGCACCCTAAAGTTATACAAGCAGGAAAGCCTTTCTAAAGTAGCTCCATYATCTAAAGTCACAAATGTGCTACTGAAGTTCAAGGGACTTGGCCTCTTTATTCCTGGGTAAGGTAGGCAGGGGTTTAAGCAAACCTTGCATCAGTCCTGAAAAAAAAAATGGAAAAAACCTGACAACGGTACTTCCAGTGATTGTACTTTTATTTTCTTCAGAACCACGTTGGTGTATCTTTCTATAAAAATAAAAAAAAAAAAAAAAAAAAAAAAAAAAAAAGAAAAAGGCAAATTCATACTACCCAAGTGCACTACAGATGCTCTGGTCACCTACTCTACTCTGGCTGTGGGAATTCCTAAATCATGCTTTACTATAAGAAGCTGTAAATTCAGTGAGAAAACAAAGGTCTGGTAAATAGGTTCTTCAACAGGAAGAATTCAATTTGTTTCCTTCACTCCTTTCTTAGGAAGTTTCTGAGGTGTATGTACAAGTTAATTACAATGCCACAAAAAAAAAGTGTTTTCACATTTCTCAGCTGCTCACTTCAGTAAGAGTTTTTCAAAAGCAAATTAGCAATATTTGTTTTTTAAAAATCTGACAGTRCAGAACCTTTGCAGAACTGTAAATTGGTTCACACTTTCAGGAGCTCTGAGAAAGTCTTTGATAAAAYATAAACCAATGCTCCTAAATAGTTTCCAGATAATAAGTGAGCAGTTGGACTTCCATGTTTCCTTGTGGGTCCCTTCCAACTCAGGCTATTTTATGATTCTCAGTGCTTTCTGGATGACATTTAAAAGCAATTACACTGTTCCACGTCTRCAAGTACAAAACAACTTGCTTTCGTCCAAATTTTGCCTCTCAGAACAGAATTTAAGCAATACTTTGTTTTATTGAAAAACCAGCATTAGTTGGTAGGACATGAGTCATTGAATCTGRAACACAACAATAACAAAAACACAAACAGATCTACCTAAGATTTGGCTTCACCTTTTCCTCTRCCTCCTCTGGAATATCATCATTATTGTGTCGGACAACCAAATTATAGGGTTCCTCCTCCATTGTCTCTTCATCTGATTTCTGCTCCTCCTCCAAAGCCCATTTGGGCCGTTTGTTTCCCGTGGAGGRGACAGGAGAATGTTCAGATACATCRAAATCCTCGGGGATGCTGTCAAAATTGGCTTCTGCCAAGCACTTGTGGCACAGTCTGTAGCGTCGTGTCCCTTGCTGAACCACGCAGCCCGTGAGCTCCGTGACGTGCCGCTTGCACTTCCTGCAAATCAGTTTGCCAGCTTGGTGTATCTGAAGGGATTTAAAATTGCCAAAGTCAGCCTTCATCCTTTTTTTTTTAGACAGCGAAAATGCGCTCAATCATGCTCAGAAATGAAATTTTAAATACAATTGAATACATACAAAAGAATGAATAACACAAGCTGACGTGCTGCTTTTCTGTTTTTGGAGGTGGAAATGCCCACAGAGCTGCCCCCGGTGAAGCCCGGTGGGTTTTCCTACCGTTTGGAAGTGGTTCCGGAGGTGCTCCAGGCGGGTGAACCTCTTCCCGCACGCCTCGCAGGGGTAGGGCCGCTCCCCCGTGTGGCAGCGCAGGTGACGCTTCAGGTCAGCGCGGCGCTTCACCGTGTGGGTGCAGAACGGGCACTTGAATCGCATCCGGGGCAGGTCACCTGGCAGGGACAGGGCACAAACAGAGCCTGGATTGATGCACTTTCAGC